TGTTAAAAATTGTATTTCTTTCTTATCAATAAATATCTTTCATTTAAAATCATGAATTGCTTATCATCATTTTGACATAATTTTGACAAAACATAATTTAACATAATTTGTTTTTTTGTAATCAATCTTTCTTTTCTTAAATGTAAATTATTTTTTAATTACTAATTCAATAATTGAGTTTGTTACAGGTATGAAATATGAAAAATAGAATAAACTAAACAGGAAAAAGTAGAAATAATTGGAAATAATTGGAAAATTGGATAATTGGAAATAATATGTGATCCTCATTTGTTAGAAATTAATTATCTTTTTTATTGTTGTTATTTCACTAATTCTATTGTATAATTTGTTTCAGGAATCTCCTTCAGCTTTCAATGGATTATGTGGAATGGATTACATTTCATCATCGGATAAATATTCTAATGTTTTATATTAGATAGAGTAGGTTGTAGGAAACATTTAACTTTTTTTCGATAAGTGGGATTTATAAAAGATGTTCTGTTCTTCTTCTTATTATTATTATTAAAAAAAGCAGCTTCGCTTTCCCTACTTTGATTCGTTTTCCAAATCAACATTTTCTATTTTTCAAAGCAATATGATCATTTTGCTATCCTTAATTCCTTAATTTCCTCATTACAAATGCTTGATATTTGATAGCTACATGACTTTGTTGACCAGCTATCATTGGTATCATTGGTACTGATTTGCATTTTCTTCTTGCCTCATGTGGTTTTATGTCGTATCATAAATTTTTTGGAAATTGTGTGTCATCATTAGTGTGAATGTAAATATGATGAACGTCGATACGAAGAGAATTTATTTGATGTTTAATCAGAGCTGAGTTAGGAACAAAGTGTTTAAATTCTTATATGGATAAGAAATAGAAAAAAAAACTTTTAGAATAAATAAAATGTTAATATTATATTTTTAATTTAAGTTCGTTTCAGGATTTCTAACAGGAACGGAAGATTGTATAATTGATTAAAGAAAATATATTTAGAATTAAGTTCATGCACAATCAAGAGTATTATAAATAAAGTAATGTATTGTAGAAAAGTAGATACTATAGATAAATAGATAAGTAAAATGTTGTAGTGCTTTTTGGGAAGCTTATTTTTTTTCTATTTTTTGCACATGCTTTTTATCATGAATCATTTTTCATTTTCACGCCGATGGAAGTTTAAAATATTGATAAAAAGTCTCTTAATTTAAATTTTATTTTCAGATTTAGTCTTCCGCGTCGGTTTTTTTTTTTTTTTTAACTTCTTTTGTTGCTCGTGTTGCACAACGATCAAAAGTTTGAACGTTTTGCAAATGGACATCGAAAGGAGAATTTATATATGAATAAATAAATTTTCGTGCTAATGGCGGGTGGATGGGATGTCGTGGTTAGGGTGGGTCTCCAATTCGCAGCAACCTCCAAGCGGTGGGACCTGGGAAATCATATTATTTAATATACAATATATAATTATATTATTGTACAATTCATATCGATGGTACAATTACATATTTTATACAAAATAATATGAGCTAATTGGCTGCGAGCGCGATTATTTTTTTCGTAAATATAATTTTTTATTCATTTAAGCGATAAATATAATTCTCGTCTCAATTTTGAAAATTATGAAGTATGATGTTTTTCTTTTTTTGTATCTTTGAATAATAATATATATGTAATTACGGTTTACTGTGGTAGATGGCGTTGCCAAATTGTTCTTTCTTGGTTGATATTTCAGAACATATTGTTTTAAATTTAAAATATCGCTTCGATCTATTTCTTGTCGGTACTCTAAATATATTACACGGTTCTTCTAATACTGTAGCTCTAAGAGATGGCATTAATTTCGGAATTCGTTTCCATTTCTTTCTTTATCTCACGTTGTTTTCTTTTCTTGTTTGTTCTTCTTTTATAATAATTCAAATTATTTTGTAATTTGATTAATAATTGAAACTCGGCGAGAAACAATAGAAATATGAAACATTTTCGATTTCTGTATGAATTCTTTTCCTGAATTTCTATTTTTGATATGAATAATAAAATGTTTTTACTTTGATATAATTTTCCATTGAAATCTTTTTTTTCGCATTCAGTGGATAACATTGTTATCGTTGGATATTAGATATTATATATATTTGTATATATAATATAAAGAAATAATAAGTATATCATTTTATTAAAAAATTTTTTTTATTATTTTAATGTTGAAAACTTATGAGTGATACGATATTTTTATAATATTTATATATATATATTTTATAACCACTTGGTCTCATGTCATTTACCTAAGTGGTCGCAAAATAAGTGACTGCGATCTTGATGACATTTCATGGAATTCGTCGAACAAAATTGATGGAAAATGAAATTAAAACATGCCGATAGAATCAACGTAATATAAGCGTGTCAGACATTATCGCGATTCGACATCTTCATTTGCTTGTTCTTCTTTTCTTTGCTCAGTTTTCGATGGATGTTTGTAACGAGTGTTGAGAAGGTTCATTTGAGATATATAATAGAATGAATAGTAAATGTCAGAATGCTCGTAACTTGTACAAGAAAAAACTTAGGAAAGGTAAGTAAAAATTGACTTAAAATGGAAAAAGATTTTTATGTAATGTAATATTTTGAATCTTTTTATATTATATAATAATAAATTTTAAAGCTATTTAAATTTTCATTATGATTTTGAAATGAAAATTTGTATTTACTTAAGATATGAATATTGAAATATTCTTTAAAACTGTTTAATAATAATTGTATAAATAATAAGTGTAATTGTATAGATAATAATAGATAATTGAATTTATCAACAGTTATATTAATTATTGTTATTTCGTAATGAATTAATCATTTTTATTTGATGGATACTAATTAATGATTGATCCTAATGTTAATTTTAAATTTGAGATATCTTTTGGTTAATATTAAAAACATTAGCATTAGTTCATAAAAATTTTATTAGAATATTTGTTTTTTCATAATTTGGTTCATGTCAGTTTTCGCTTCTTTTTTTTTTTTTTTTTATTTTGGTTTTTTTTGTTTTTCCTTTTTTTTTTTTTTTTTATTTTGGTTTTTTTTGTTTTTCCTTTTTTTTTTTTTTTTTATTTTGGTTTTTTTTGTTTTTCCTTTTTTTTTTTTTTTTTATTTTGGTTTTTTTTGTTTTTCCTTTTTTTTTTTTTTTTTATTTTGGTTTTTTTTGTTTTTCCTTTTTTTTTTTTTTTTTATTTTGGTTTTTTTTGTTTTTCCTTTTTTTTTTTTTTTTTATTTTGGTTTTTTTTGTTTTTCCTTTTTTTTTTTTTTTTTATTTTGGTTTTTTTTGTTTTTCCTTTTTTTTTTTTTTTTTATTTTGGTTTTTTTTGTTTTTCCTTTTTTTTTTTTTTTTTTTGACTAAAATGTTTTCACTAATATATATATATATATAATAAATTTGGATTATCTTTATTTTATCCGTGTTTCTATATTTCTCTTATTGTTCATGTTACTCACGTTGGTTTATCTCTTAACATTTGATATTCTCTTTCTCCAAATATCCTCCAAGGCAGAATACTTTCAATTTCACATGAAATATATATTGTAATAAATGATTATATTTTTTATTTATATAAACATATTAAATTATATCATATAGTAAAAATTTAATTATATATTTTATAATAAATAGAAAATTATAATTATTATAAATTATATATGTATTTAATATGTATTTAATAAAGTTTTTTCGAATTATTGTAATAGATAAGATATTTACATAATACGATTAACATGATTAACACGATGTAGAGAAACAAAAAACATTTTTGCGGAAAAAAATATTAATGAATGTTTAAAAGATGATTTGTTATAAAAAATAATTTTGTAATCTTCGTTTTATTTAATTATTGTTAATGATCTTTCTACAACATATATATAATATTCAATATTTCATATTCTTACCATTTTTTTTATTAGAAAGTTAAGTAGTTTTATTAGTAAGTAAATTAGTGTCACATATTTCTACTTTCAATAAGAAAATTCTAAATAAAAAAATATATGAAGATATTCTATCCAGTAAATATTTCTACAGTGTAACTCATTATAAAAATATTCTTTTAAATATATTTTAAATATATTTATGAGATATGATTCTGAATTAAAATATATTAGCATTTATTAAAATATTTTATAATATAAATATTTCAGTTTTAATAAATATTTCAATATTAATGTATAATAATATATACAAAAATATTTTCTCTTAAAAGTTTTCAAAAAGATACTTTTAATATTATCATACATATTGTATATATAATAATATATGTAGTATTCAAAATGATTTAATAATATTTCAATTCAGGATGTTTATCAAAATTTGCGCAAACTATAAACTCATTTTTTCGCAATTATTGCGAAAATACAGCACTACATGGCTTTCGATACATCATTATAGGCAAAACGACTTTTCATAAAATAATTTGGTTAACGGTGAGTGAAACAATTTATTTATTATCTTTTAATTTCAAGATAAATAATTTTTATATTTATTTAATGCATAGATCTGTGTGGCAGCAATTATCTTTTGCGCAATAATGATGTTACGACTATCGCTGTACTATTTGAACAATCCTACAGTAACGATAATTGACACATCGAATCCCATAAAGGAATTACATTTTCCAGGTATCACTATATGTAACAACAACAAAGTGTACAAACCTCACGCTGATAAGATCGCACAAAAATTGTAAGTAAGAATTTATGATCCGTATAGATATAGTGAGTAAAGTGTTTATAATTGCATTTTGCTATAAAAGCTTTTTAGATATATTATTTAGATAATATTTATAGAATATCTTTATCAGAATAAAAACATTATAAATTTATTATATAGAAATAATATTAAAAAATGGTTGTTTAGTTTCAATTTCAATTTTTAATTTTTCTATTTATCTTTTGTTTCATTTTCTTTGCTTTTAGAAATATTCGAATGATAACACTTTGTATATATATAAAAAAAAAACAATATTCTTTTTCATTTAATAGGATTATAATTTATTCATATCATCATTTAATGTTATGAAAAAGTTGCACGTGTCTCAACAAATTTAGATCTGTGTTATTCAGAAAAATATACGAATGTAATAAAAAGAAATTGTTTTACGTATTATATTATAATATATTTATAGAAATAGTATACAAGCAGAATAATGACAAAACAAGTAATAACGAAATGCTCATGATAATATCTCTTATGTGAAATTAGTTTTTTCGAAAGAGAATCATAGATCTATATTGTGTTTCATAATAATTTATAACTTCGTTAAAATATTTAGAAAAAATGGATAATCGTTTTAACATCGTAAAAGTTATCTATTTACTATTTGTCGATTCAATTTCGCGAAAGAAAAAATTTACTACTTTAATTTTTACTAATATCTTTAATTTATAATTTTTTATTTATTAAATCTATTTAATAGATTAAATTAATGATATCTTAAAATATTATATATAAAATGTGTTATCTTTTGAAATTTAAAGTGTTTCAGAGTTTTGAATATCACATTCCTAGTATAATATTTTAAATTAAAAGAAATAAAAGAAGTGTTGTTCAAACATATTTCACGCGTACATGAATTCAATAACGAGAGAACTCTACTATGTGCACATTTCTGAGAAACAATTTCTTTTAATATAGGCTGATGTATGGATTCAATAGAGACATGACTAACAAATTGTTCTCTTCTCTGATGAAACTGATACGACCAGACAAAATTGAGATCGATAACGCAACTGCGTCCTGGGCCCTCGACATTCTTGGTTACACTGTGGAGAAACTTATGCTCGAGGTGAATAATATTTTTCTTCCATTTTGTTTATGAAAATATAACTCTGAATAACGATGAAATATATAGTTTATTATGTAAAACAAAATATGAAAATATATAGTTAAAAAATGAAAGAAAGTAGAAAAATTGTAAGTAATTTGGAAATTAGAATAATTTATATTCTTTTCTTTCTCTTTTTGCAGTTGATGCAACCTTGCGACCTGTTGTTAGTGAGATGCGGTTGGTTGGGACAACTTTACAATTGTAGTAAAATTTTCAAAATAGTGAAGTCGAAGGAGGGTTTCTGTTGTGGTTTTAATTATCATTCTATCGATTACAAGTAAAACAATATTGTTAACTTTATATATTATTAATGAATTAATTTTTACAATTGTTATTAATATATTTATCGATTTTAATGTTTTTTAGTAATAAATTATCTTGGTTAACAAATTATACGAGAGCTATTGACAACAAAGAAACGAATTCTTCCGATCTTCTGCCAGGTGTTAACCGCGTTCTGGTAATATCTTTAAAAAATAAAAAGTATTATTAACTTACAAAAATTTATTATGCATAATATTTAAAATCAAAAATGACATACTAATATGTATAAAAAATCATTTTGAACAAAAATGAATGATAACAATATTCAAAGAAAAAATAATACTTTTTTATTTCAATTAATTCAAACAAAGTAAAGATTCTTCAATTCATATTCTTAAATCAATCATTATCTGAAAATGAAATAAGATTTAAATTAATTCTCAATCTAACGATCCATTCTTCTTTTCGCTAAAAAAATTTATAAATATAAACTTTTCTCACTCTATTCTAATAATTATATCTTCAATAATAAATATAATATAAATAATAAATAAATAATAAATAATATAAAAAATAATAAATAAAATCATATATATGAATTTTCTCAAATTTCAGAATGTACCTGGAACAGGACGTGACATAGGTTTGGCAGTAGCGTTGAACATTGATGCTAAAAATTATAAAAGTTCGGTAAGACAATTTGTAGGTGCCACTATTTTGATCCACGATCCATTAGATTATCCGGATGTTGGTGCACAATCTGCGAGTTTGCAACCAGCCCATGTAATGTCGATGACACTTACAGGCACGAAAATAAAAAGCTCGAAAGATCTTCAGCATATACCTCTAATTAAAAGGATGTGCCTGTTTGATGATGAGGCAAATTAAGAATTTTAAAAATATTGATTTAAAAATATATTAAAAATATATAAAAAATAATTTTTTTTTATGTTTTTAGCTACCTGCAGATATAAATTATACACTATACGATGGAGAAAAATATAATTATCAGACATGCATCTCGAAATGTTTACAGAAGAAAATTTATGGCTTTTGTGGATGTTTGCCCTTTTTTTTTCCTGATGATCGTAAGTAATTTATATAAATAGTTTTCATCAAAAAAATAATTACAAAAATATTATAGATTTATTACATTCTTAAAATTAACTGTTAACCAATACGAAAAAAAAAAAAAAATTGTATCTTAGAGAAAAGAATTCAATAAGGAAATTATTAATAATAAATATTAAAAATTTTTTATTAATTCATAAAATATTCACAAAAGAACTCAAAATCTTTTACTGATAATATAATGATAATATAAAAGTAAATCATTTATCATTAAATAATTAATAATAATGATATAAATTTAACAATTTAACATGGAATTACAAAACATATTCAATAATAGAATTTCTTGATTAAATATACTTTTTATTAGAAATAAAATTATTCTTATTATGAATTATTATTTAAATTATCATAGTTACGAATATTCATTGGCTATGTTAATAGATCCGTACGAGCGCACTTGTTATTTGACGGATGTGGATTGCATTCTGGCTCGTAGGAGTAAGTAAATAACGAATATTTATTTTTCTACAGTAAACATTTTTGCAGTAATGAATTAAACAACTTCGATATAAAATCAAAATAAAATTGTAAAATATAATCTTTTTAATATGATTAAAGCAAATTTTTATTTTCATTTTTCAAACAGGAAATCTGTCGCAGATACAATCATTGCACATCAACGATTGCGATTGTCTTCCACAATGTAGCGATGTAAATTACGAAATAGTTACTGAATCGATACCAATAAACAACGCGGAATTTGATTCTGAAATAACGTAAGTTAAATAATAGAGCAAAAATTATTATAAAAAAATAATAATTGAACGTTTAGAACATCTTATTACAATTTAATATCAATTATATCATTCAAATATATAATAATTATAGCTATAATTGATATTAAAATTTGTATTATTTTAAATTTATTCAATTCATTTAATAGATAAATCATAGAAAGATAAATAAATTTTTTTCAATTACGCTATAAAATATAAAATGTGTTGATCGTTTACAGGCGTGGCTTAAATCTTAACACTTCGTTTCTGTACGCTTATTTTCGAGATGGCACGTATCTCGAGTACCGGAAGCAAACTATCTTAGGATGGGACAACCTTCTCGGTAAGATGAAATAATAATTTCATACATCTTGCCTTCTTTTCTATCGTTGGTTAATAGTGAGCCGCGTTTAGAAGAATAAAGAAGAGTTAAAGCTTCTTGGTGAAACCGAGCACGAGTTCTAGAAGTTCGATTAAAAAAACAAAGGTAGAGGATGAAGTTTACACGCGAGAACGAGGGAATTTTCTTTGAAAGTTCGTGATTAAGATCGAGATTAAGACGTGTATATATATTTTTGAATTATATTTAATCGAGATTATGATTTAAATTTAAAATATTTGTAATTAAAATGTGAAAGTTACGAATATAGCAATATAAATTTAGCAAGTTAGATTAATTATAAAATATATTTCAGCTTCTTTCGGAGGAATCTTTGGACTTTGCCTGGGTGGTTCGGTGATAAGTTTCGTTGAATTCTTTTATTATTTCATAATTGACTTTTTTTCCGTTCGTAAAAAGAAAAAAGCACAACTGGTGGATGTACCGCCTGCTTCGAAATTATTCATCTCCGTTCCGATGAATGTAAATTTGAAGAAGTACAATACGTCAACTCTGAATAAACGTATTTTCCTCGCATGGAATCAGCAACTTCCCAAACGAATTTGGAAAAATTCTGATTATGAACTCAGTATGTATAAAGAGTGATTCATTAATTTATTTGGATGACAATAATTTTTAGTAAAATTCATTTTATTTATATTTTTATACAATAGAGGATAATTTTATATATATTTATTTTAAATGTTAGAATGAAATGAAACATAAATGCAAAATTTTAATAATAAGTAAAAATTATCTTTTCTAGAAATATTTAAATTATTAAAATTGGAATTTTTTAAAGTGTTATAAATCAATTAAAAATAATTTCATTGATTTTATAAATTTTGTTTGCTCTGGGGTTTATGTACAAATAATTTTAAATAAATTTGAATTAAATTTGAAAAAATAATTTTGAGAAAAAATAATATACTTTTGCGTATAACAACAAAATCTGGAAGATCAAAATTTTCCTTGCAATTAAAAAATAATCGTACAATTTTAATTTTTTCATTTCATTCTAACGTAGATATAGATTGTAGATATACATATATTCATAGATATTTGATATATTATTAAAAATTTATTAATCAAATATATTCTTATCTATGGAATCGATTTCGTATTCTAGTATGAATATAAAATAATTTTTATTATTAAAAAATGTGAGATATAGATATAGATAGAATAAAATAAAGTAATAAAAAATAATGATAAAAAGTTAGAAATATTTAACGTTAGTACATTCAAAGTTATTTATTTCGATATCACTGGACTCGACTCATACCACGTATGAAACGTGGTTTTTGATGTTATTGCTTCCCTGCCTAGTTTTGCCAGTCAGAAGATGCTTCAAATGTGAATGAAAACGTTGGCTTAGCAAACAGTAGAGCACAAAATTGGCCGAACTCGATATCGCGTTCAAGAGAGTAGCGTACATACGAAATCTGTTCGAATATGCGAATATTAATTACGTGAATTTAAATGTAATTAATAATATATTATTAAATTTTATAATATTATTCAATCAAAAATATTTGAAGTACAATAACATTAATTTATTATAATTATAAATAAAAATTTTGGTTACAATTTAAGATAATGCACAATGTATTGATATATTAATAATATTGTTAATAATACATTGCGTGTAAGTTAATTTTGTAGAAAAAGTTATAATAAAATATCACAAGAAACAATACTATTGAAAATTTCAATTTACAAAGCTAATATAAAAATCAAAAATTGACCAAATATCAAAATAAATCATTTGATTTAAGAATCGAAAGTTTTGATGTGGAAATTAAATATTTTCCAGAAAATGTAATTGATCTTAGTTTCTGAGTAATAATACAAAAAATATCATGAAAATGTTCATGAAATTAATTTCCAGGAAATAATAGATTTTAGAAAGAAATGTTAGAGATGAAAATAAAAAATGTATATAAAAAACAATGAAACTTCCAATTTTTTCCATTTTTTTTTTACAAGATTTGACTCAAATAAAAAATAATAAATGAGATCTCATCGTAATAATAATCGCATAACTCATACTTAATGTTATTCAAAGGCAATACTTACGTTTCCATATAATATTCAGAGACTTTTGTTGGATCTCCACCATAGAGAAGCGTCAAAGCACTGAGTCGTGATGCCAAATGAGTTGGCACCTCACCAACAAGGAATACAAACACGATGCCAACCATCATCACGTTCACTCGTGCCTGATCCTGAAAAATAACAATTTTTTACGATTGAATGCATTCTATAATTAACTATAATATGCATCGGAATAATATATACGAGAGAAAAATTCGTATATCATAAATGTAAATCGATAAAATATATGGATTCACATCTGTTCAATGAATGTGTAACGATCTAATTTTGATGATGACTATGACGACATTTATGTTTATAGATCTTCTTCAAGTGATGAATAAAATTAAGCCTTGTTCACGTTAGTCAATTTATTTAAATTCTATTTAATTTGTTAATTTATTAAAATAAAGTTAATAAATGAAGACAAATTATCGAAAAATAATTATATCTAATATAATAATATATAATAATCTCAAAGCAAAAGCGTAGCAATGAAAAAGTTATTGAAAGTTTCAAGAACTTGTGAGAAACATGATATTTTGTAAAATAATGAAGGATATCGTAATTTTATTGGTAATATAAGATGAAAATATGATTAATGGTATATTCAAAATTTTATAGTTACAAACATCTTAAAAAACATTTTGATGATGAATTTTAAATATTCGCTGCTTCAATTTAGTCAATAAGTTTTTTTTTACATTTAACTAACTAACTAACTAAACTAACTAACTAACTATTGAAACAAAAAATCAATGGAAAGAACTTTTTTGAAAAATTATATTGATCAAATAAAGCAATAAATTCATATTGATAAAATTATCAATTAAAATAAAGCGATTAATATAAAGGATTAATATAAATGAAACTTTATAGACAAAATAATAAAAACCTTATGTAAATCTCATTTATTGATAAATTTTAAACAATGCTTGATTTATTGAGCATAAACTTTCGTAGAACAGACAATTCCTGTTGTCTGTACTACTATCAAACATTCCTTCAAGCTGTGCAAATATCTTAAATTAAAGCATCCATTCACATAATGTGTATTCAGGGTATATTTAATACATTTTTCAGCATAAAAAATGATAGTGGAAATTTCTACAAATATACTAAATTTACATATGATGCGAGCAAATTTTAGATGATTCGTGAAATATATGAAGATATATATTTATAAGTAGTCGTATATATGTACATAAATGGTTGTATACTATAAATAACTATGTCGAATCACCTGTTCTAATTCAACTTGATATGGAGATTAATGATATATTAAGAACAGCTGTATTTTGGAATCAATCTAAGATAAGGTAATTATTTATAGAAATATTATATTATTTTATTTATATTCCTTGTAAAATTAAAATTTCTTATCATTTTCTATGTCATAGTGATTATATCATAAAAAAAAATCGACTTATAAATTATTTTGTATACCTTCAGACGATTTCCTTCCCGTATATTTTTGTGCCGCAATACCAATTGTCTTCGTTTCAAGATTTTTCTGATTGAATGACACATGATTATATTTGCCACCAACAAGAGAACAGTGGGCATCAAACCATGCAATACGAACTGTAGCCAATTTTGAAGATTGTACAACCTGTAAATTCATTCTAAATTTTATTCTCGCTTGCTTTAAGATTAGAAGGAGAATAATAATATTTGATTCGTAAAATCAATGGAATTAATATTTAAATTATATTTCAAAAAAATAAAAAATCGATTTTTTAGAGCAAAAATAATAAATAAAAAAAATCTATTATTAAAAATGTCTTTTGACAAATTTCTATTTCCATTCTCTATACTATATTTTATTACTCACCACGAATGAAAGAAACTCGTTGTAACCAAATCTCCTTGTTCGTTGTAGGTGTAAATCAAACAATACGGTACATTAAGCAAAATGGCGAGACAACTGGAGAAAATCATCAATTTCCTCGCCATTCTATAATCGCAAAACTTTGGTGGTCTGCATCTTGGCATGCTATCGATCGAAAAGCCAGAATCTTGTTAAACTTCCATCTTATCGTTAAGTATCGTAAAAAGGTGAATAGAGATGATTAACGTTTAGGACGATCGAGTTTGCAAGTAATTATAAGTTTTAAGAACAAGATAAGAAAAAATAAATTACGAGATCTCGCATCTTAGATAATTACGAAACAGGTAAATATCGATAAGTGAGTGCCGAGTAAAGGGTTACAAGTTATAATAGAAAAGAATAATTGTATTTAATTGATAAATTATCAATTTTGTTTTTAATCTATTAATTATTTAGAAATTTTTAATTGTTAATTACCTAAAAATAATGGTCAGCCTATCGATAGTGACACACATGGTGGCCCAAACTGTGACGTTGGATGAAACAGAGACAACAGGTAAATAGATAAACACGTCAAACTCCAACCATCCGTTTTTACACCAAAAGACACCTCTTGCTAAACCGGAAAACACGAGCATGGAACAAGTGACGAGATCGGATGCGGCAAAAACTGTAAATTCAATTTTATTCTCTATTCATTGTTTGGATAAACAATCGTTATTTTTTCTTAATTTTCTTAATTTTAGAAAATTTCATTTGAAATCGCGCATGTCGGTTTTGGAATAAATATTTGCTTCATTAAGTTCGTTTAATATTTCAAAATTTATAAGACGTGTAATGTAATTTTGCAAATATCGAATGTCGAAAATTTAATTAATCTTCTTTTAAATCGTGACAAAAGTATACGATTTAATTATCGATTTCAGAATTAATTCTGTTTGTGAAAACTGGGTCAAATTTAAACCACGTGGAAATTTCAATTTAAAATCATTTAAATCCAATCTTCAATTATCCTTTTTCTTTTTTCTTGCCAATAATATTTTAAATAAATAAAAATTTAACAAAAAATTATATAATATAATTATAAATTATCGATTTTTATGAAATTTAATAATATTTAATAATTCTTGAAAAAATATGTTTCAATTAAATAATATATTTTAATTAAATAATTTTTAAAACGTTATAACATTTATAATAAAAATTATTAAATTTTTTGTAATTTTTCTATAGCGAAAAATTTACTAATCATTTTAACAATTTGCATATAAAAAAATACTAAAATTTAACCAATAAAATATAGATTAATCAAAATTTTAATTTTCGACGTTTTAAATAACAAAATATTTAAATAACAAAATGACTAAAAAAATATATTTTCTCAACAAAGACAATACGAATCGAATAGACGATTTCAATAAACTGAAAATGGTCGCTTTTACACATGACACCAATGACTTCTTAAAAATAAATTTGAAATTGGCTGAAGGAAAGCGAAGTAATTCGATTTCACAGTGATTTCTTATGCTTTTTCATCTGATTAGAAACTAGATCTGACCTCTTAAGTATGTGAATATCGATTCCTTGAAATTCTCGTCAGAGAGAACGTAGAGAATTAAAGCATTTCCAATGATCCCGAGGACCGAGATTATAGGAATTGCGACGCTGTACACGATTATACTGTGAAGAGTTGGTTCCACTACCCATAGACTAATGTCGTCGAAAATTATCTGGCTCGTTGATCTATCAATGACATAAAATCATTAATTCTAGAATAAAATATTTGAATTTTTATAAAATGATTATTGCCATCCTGTTAATATAAATCAAATATAATTTTAATATAATTTCAAAATATAGAAACTTAAGCTTTCAAGAATTTAAAAATAGATATGTTTTTGCATAAAATAAAGATTTTTCATAAATAATTTTATAAAATTAATCGTTTATAATAATTAAATATTTATTGATACTATTTTAGGCAAAGAAAAATTAATAGAATGTGAAAAGTTTGTTTAAAAATGATAAAATAAAAATGATAATAATATTGAAAATATAAAATTAAATATCAAATAAATCATTTTCAAATTATTGAAATATTCAAATATATAAAATCTACGAATTATAAAAGTTTATATATTAAGAGAACTTTTGTTATTTCAATTAATTTCAAAAAAGATAAAATTATTTTAAAAATATTTCTTTTATAGCGAAAACATATCAAAATATTTTTTTTCTTGTATGCTACTCTATGAAAAAACACGATAAATATTTTTCATCTTTTCACGCTACGATAGTTAAACAAATCATTGCAAATAGCAAATATTTACCTTTTACAAATTACTATCATTTGTTCGCTGAAATTCGTACCGTGGGAAGTTAACATTATTTTTATTTCTCGTTGGATTAGATAGCACGAGAACTTTTAAGACACTTCTCTGTAATGTCGAGAAAATAGTGGTTAATAACAAAAAGAATAGTAGTACAAAAAAGAAAAATATAAATAAAAGATCTTATAATAAAAGAAGAATTGGAAAACGAAACGAGATAGAATCGCATCTAACTATAAATTGATCATCTTTCTCGTTTAATTGTGATTAAACGAACTTTTTTTTTTTCGTAAACTCGGATAAAACATTCTTGTCACTAGAAAAAGCTTATATTTTAAGAGAGATATTTTTTTTTAAAGATTCTGTTTTATATGAAACAGTAGTGTAAAGTAGAGAAATTCTTACAAGAATAAGGCAATTAATGAATTGTTAATTTTCGATTCTGTTCTTTCAATAAAAGGTAAATTTGAAATTTTATCGAATAAAGAAAATATTTTATATTCTAAAATTATTAATTATTACTATTATATATTTACTTTAATTATATATATTATATATTATTATTTTTATTTATATTATAATTATTAAATAATTAAAATATAAATAAATTTCGTATTAAATAATTTGATAGATTAATTAAACAAAAATTCAACATTTATAAATTTTTAAAATATTTTCACTCTAATTCTTGTTCTTATTTATAAGATGTTCATATATCTTTCTTTTTATATCACGATTTAATTTTAATTTTCGAAAACTTTCACCAATCAAATCTTTGATCTTGATACGACAAATAATTCACTGTATTGTGATTCGTGATGATTTAAATTTATCGTTCGAATTATACAAGTTAAAAAATTTCTCTCGTAAAAATAATAATAATAAAAAATCGAGTTTTTTTTTCATTTCTTTTAATCGATTCACTTTGACTTTTCACGAAATATTTCTCGTTTCACGAATTTCACTGTTTATATATACAATTTGATTGCAAAGATGGATGCGCGCTTATTTCGATTTGATCGAGTGAACGAATACCAAGTATTTGAACCAAGCGGAAACGAAAGTTTTAGTGGTTCCGACAGGAATCAGATAAATGTCTGATAATAGATACGCAAATATCCTGAACATGAGGAATTTTTTAATATTTGTTGAACTGTGCGTCATTGGAATCGGCTATCGATGTTACAAAGAAGATAAATTATAATATGTGCAAACAAAGGTAAAACAATAAAATGGATTTAATACGCGATAATAATAATTATATCAAGATTTC